CAATTCATTTTCTTTCAAAATTCTTAGTATAGTTTGATAGCCAGCTCCATAAGCTTTAATTTGATATGGGGTTTAGGTATCTACAGCTTAAACAGCACGCGCTACATCGCTTGCGCGCGAGACACCCCTGAAGGTATACTGTAACCTTAATATGAGAGGATATAAGTACCAGATGTCTTTTTTAATTCACCTGAAAGTGTAATTGGAACTCCGAACACATGCTTCATGATCAGTTGGCTTACTGCATTTTGCGAAGCGAAATGAAACGAAACGAAACAAAACAAAACGAAAGGAAGCCTGACTGCCTTACTTCTTTCATTACCAAGGTGATAAGGCGAACATGCAGACGGCAAATGTCAGTCACGCACCCAGTGCTCGTTTCGCAAAATACAAATCTGTAATTTGTAAAATGGGGCACTTCTGATCTTTCGGCTTTAACTCGCTGTTTAAAAATCATCAGTGCATCGAGTTGTATCTACGAAAAGTGTTAAAGAGTCAGAAGAAATAAGTTACATATCGTCACAGTCTTCGAAGAGCTAGTTTCCCAAAATACAGATCTTCGAATTTGCAAATTACACCCTTCTGCTGTTTTATTCCTTGTTTAGGTTATCGCACGGAGAAATCTGACTGTTGTGATAGTTCAGTACAAGTTTCGTTTCGTTTCGCAAAATACAGCAAGCCGATCGATCAGTCTAATTATTTACCTCTGCAGCTTGGCAGCTTTCTCTTCGGAATATCTTCCCTCCACTAAACTAATAGCCTAAAAATGAATTTAAATGTCTTTTTTAAGTATTTCCTCCACCAAACTATGTGAACTAAGTGGAGAGAGAGGAAAGTCAGATTAAGCTTATAAGTTAAGCTTATCCCGAACGCAAACTTGATGAAAGAAAACCCTTGTAAATAGTGACTTCATCTTTGCCACTCAACCTAAAAGTGAATAATACTTACATTTTCTATATCTGTTGTGCTTATTTCTTTCTCTTCTGCATAATCAGTCACTCTTTCGAGGTCAGCAGACGTTTGTAAATCGTGTCTCTTCGGCAAAGGTTGTTGTACACCTTCCGCCATTTTGAAAATTATCCTGTCACATGGTTGGCCTTGAATAACATTTTCCTACCGAAGGGAGGGTAATATAAAGAGTATATCGTCCTTGTTGAACCTTAAGGCTCAATAACACGCCCTCCTCTTAAAGCGCTAAAATGATAAAACGTGAATGAAAATGTCACAATATTTTCTTTTAAAGAGGCACACTTAGATGTTAGATGTAGTTTGTATGGAAACACTCTTGCAAAAAAATTACCTTACCGCTCCCTAGTTAGGAAGTAAATGTCGTCATACAATAGTACCCAGACCTAGCTCTCAGTGCGAGGATAAGCCTGATATCTTCGGAAGCAGGCCATACTTCTCGGAGCGTGATCTTTTGTTCGGATAGTAGATCACGTGATAAACGGCCGTTGATAATATAGTTCATTCGCAGTGCATTATGGGAAGGGCTTTCAGCCCCCTCCTGGATCTACCGTGATCTCGTGACTCACTCTCTTTCTCTTTTGACAGCAAGCAAAATGAAAATGTCTTCATTCACTTCCGTCTTCGCGTTGATGTTTCTTCATCATTTCTTCCAAACAGTGGAATCAAAATTCCTGATACCTGGTGAGGCCTGGGGATATGTCGACGTCAGGAAAGAGGCAACTATGTTTTGGTGGCTCTATGGAGCTCAAACAAGCGATCCCACGGACCGTGTTCATAAACCCCTAGTTTTGTGGTTCCAGGGAGGTCCAGGGGCTTCCTCCACGGGATACGGAAATTTCGAGGAGATCGGCCCTCTTGACGTTAATCTAAAGCCAAGAAACTCGACTTGGATTAAGGAAGCTAATGTCTTGTTTGTAGATAACCCCGTGGGATGTGGCTTCAGTTATGTTGGTGATCCAGGGGCCCTCACCACTAACATCTCAGGTGATTAGTATTTATTAAGCTTGTAAGGAACTTCTTATTATGAAGTATAACATCCAAGGCACTGCAGTGCCAGCCCAGGCCTGGGCAACTTGTTTAGGAGCCTTTTCCTGTGGGACGTCCCATTGTTATCTGCATCCTCCCCTTCCTCCACACATGCACACCCAAATAAATAGATGACTTGAGGCAACCCCTCTATATTTTTAATGGCTTCCTTTGAAAGCAGTCAATGTAAAATGAAGACTGTGAACTGCAGACTGCAGACTGGAGTAAAATGCAGATTAAGGGTAAAATACAGACTACAGACCAGGGCTAAGAATTGCAGACTGCAGACTACAGACTGTTTATTAATAAGTATATATCGCAATATTTCCATTATCAAGTGCTGACCGTAAACAGGATTATTCACGACAGGCTAATTGCATTGAAAGTCTGCACTCCAGCTAACCTGAATATCACTCAGGTTAGACTGAATAATGCTCTGGTTAGCCTGCAGTTTACAGTTAGCTCTTAATGATCGAAATGGGAACACAATTCAGTTAAAAAATCTGCAGTCTGCAGTCTGTATTTTACCCTCAGTCCTGATGTGCAGTCTGCAGTCTGCAGTCTGCATTTTACACTGACTGCTTTGAAAGCCTAACAAAACAAAAAGGTAGCTAATCTTTGCAGAATGAACTGGGCCTTAAATTGCAAGAGCTCACCATCCTTGGCAGTGAGTGGCAGGAAGGGGAATGCAGATTAAAGATGCATCACCCCTGTAATATTGGTTCTACAGATAAACCTTTCCTCACAGACACCTCCATAAAATAGTCCACCACTTAACATTTAGATTAACAATAAATCACAGGCCGTTTGCTGGGTATCAGATGAACGTAAGCGGCATCTGGTTATTTAAGCTAAGATTACAAAACTTTCTTGTGTTGTTCCTCAAACTATCCGTGCCTCTCCCCTGAAGACATTGATCACCAAAAGACAAGAAAATATCTCTTTCTTGACTAAGCCTACCAAGTTTCAGTGGTCTGTGTTGCAAATCGGCCAAGATAACTCTAGTTACATACCTGATATAATATTGCGTTGAGTGTATGATGTCATCAGTCATCTCATTTGCATATTTTACACATACTTAAATATCTCCGGAACTACAATAATCCAGATATTTGCAAATGGTAAACGGCATTTTTATTCTCTCGTGGAATTCTATGTGATACACCTAAAAATTCAAGGGGTAAAAATTGGATCATAGCAACACTTTAAGATATTGATTTGCATGTCGCATTTTGTGTTAGTAATAATATTAGTTTGTTCTCTTATCAGAAATTACAGATGATTTGACTGTCTTCTTCAAAGCCTTTCTGGAGAAGTTTCCAGTTTTCAAGGAGATGCCATTTTTCATTGCTGGTGAATCTTATGGTGGTAAAATGGCTGCTGCTTTTGGAGCTGCCTTGCAGGACCTGATTCATGATGGCAAAGTTCAGTGTGAGCTTACTGGAGTAGCACTAGGAGATTCCTTGATCTCTTTCCAAGACACAACACTTTCTTACGCACCCTATCTATTTTCTTTTTCTCTCTTGGATGAGAAAGACTTTCTTAGAGTCCAAAAGTTAGGTAAGGAGGTTGTAAAAGCTACTGATCACGGAGATTATGACAAGGCCATGGATTTAACTGACCAGTTGATCGATCTTATTGGCCATGTGACCGACAATGTTGATGTTTATAATGTGCTGCGTCATAACCAACCAGACCTTAGCATGATGCATTTGATGTTGCAAAGGTACACTAAGTTGTCCAATAATCAAATTTTTTCTCAGTATTTAATGAGAAGTCAAAGTGATCCACTTGTCAAGCTCATGAATGGACCAATCAGGAAAAAGCTGGGGATAATACCGGATAATGTCACATGGGGTGGTCAGTCTGAAATGGTAGCAGAAACCCAACGCAATGATATCCCATCTTCAGTGTTATCAGATGTCGGCAAACTTATCAGAGGAGGTGTTAAAGTTGTCGTATACCAAGGCCAACTTGACATGATTTGTGGTACACTTGGTGCCGAGTCATGGATTGCAAAACTCGACTGGGATGGTTTGCCACAGTTTTTGAATTCATCCAGAAAGCCCTTGTATGCACCATCCAAACTGGCAAAGAAAGAGACTGGAGCATTTCTTAAGAACTACAAAAACTTTGAACTTTATTACATTCTCAATGCTGGCCATATGGTTCCTATAGATGCCCCTGAAATGGCTTTGGAAATGCTAAGAATGATTCTCATGTAACAAGGAGAGAATTGATGACTAATCAGTGGTACATCCAGACCTTGAGCTAGGGGCGGNTGTGACATTTATGTGTGATATCAGTTTGTGTGCTAGAAAGAACTGCTTAATAAATCAGCATATACTTGATTCATAATCACTGGACATGCTGGAATTTAGCAATAACTTAGGATCCAGTCAAGGTAAAATAGCTTAACTTTGCACTGTCAAATCAACAATTTTTATCACAGGCTTCTAAAACTTTGGATTTGAGTCAAATGGCATACATTTGTATTTTTTGAATAATTTTATTATGTTTATATTTTAAAAAAATTTCTATCACTTCATAATGGCACTTTATAGACTAGAGATATTGTCTTCCTTTTAGGTTCTCAGATTTTCATGCGAGTGTTCACTTGACATGCCATTGAGGGCACTGCACACTGTTGATATAATGTGCTGTTGTAAACAAGATTGAGCTAATTTGAGCCTCAGGGGTTGGGGGAGGCTCCCATATAAATAGGACAGGGGTAATCGTCATAACTTTTAGGAGTTAAAAATGTGGATTTGGCACCTCTTAGAGTCTACAACCTCAAAAGTTCCCACAGCAGGAGGTTCCACAGTACCTTTTAGGGCATTGAGCCAAAATAAAAGCAGTGTAAGTTTATGTGTTGTTTTAGAATCGGTACCTCTTAGGAGAGAAAAATACAAGCCACGCCCACAAAACAGGGCCTTGGTACCTCTTGAGGGTTCTTTTCAAAATTTCCGACGAGCAACCCTGTTCTTTTAGATGGGAATTAATTTGAGCCTAAGTTTTCAGAGTGAACAGTCAAGGTGCAGTCAAGCTGCAGTCAAGTTTCACTATCACTCAAGAAAAATAAGGGCACTGTGTGGTGCATTGTTTTAGTAGACACTCTATTGAAGATTGGAGCCTAAAACCTAAAATTTAATGTGCTTTAAGCCAAAATTCAAGAATAATTTTCCCTGGCAAAAGCTATGCCGGTGTGATTGTATTCTATCAACAAGAGAGATTAACAACAAGAGAGATTACATTAATTATCAGATTCCTGGATAATGAGCATGTGCTGTTATTTTACTGTGATTATTTTTATAATAAATATATATATCAAATACTTTCAAATAAACATAACCTAACCTCATCACTGACTTGCAGCATGTGTAAGGGACTATTTGTGTTGCTACAGATCTGTGCACGCTCAGCGGGCCTACAATATAAGTTAATATTATTTTTCGATGTACCGTGATCAGATGTAATATTATAGTTTTAACTAATCAGTGAACTAGCTCTTGAACAGCTTGTTTGTACTATTAGCTGTAATTTTGTAACAAGCTTCACCTACCTGCTAGCAAGTAAAAAATTGAAATCTTATATTTTTTTGCGGGTTTTTTTAATTTACATCTCTTGACGTAGAAACTGTTAACACCATAGCTGACATCTTCCTCAAATGAATTCAGCACCTGAGGGTGCTATTAAAAAAGTAGGTTATCCTAAGTGAACACAATCTTCCGTGCCTTGAGTGTCAAAACGAAATTTAAAACAACTGCAATTCCCAATCACGGTTATATTCCCTTCGCAGCGGTTTCTTTGGTCGTCAGGCAAAGCTGAGCAAAATCGTTTTGCAATGACCCAGATAACGGCTGCGAAGATGACCAGATCAAACAGTGACAATTTAAGAAGAAATCCGATAGGAAATCGGGCAATTTCAATTTTTAATGGACAAAAACCTTGTACCAGAATAACGTTAAGTATGTTACAGTTCTTTTTGCATTTTCTACAAGCTAAAGATATTATAAAACAGTTGTCTGAAGTAACACTAAAAGCAATTTCCCATGGGACCTCGGGAAAAGAAATTTCAAAGTTCAGAGAAATTGTGCAAACACAGGTAAAGTTTCATTTCACCATTATTTTCAAGTGTTTCATTTGAACTTCAAAATTTGTTTTCGACTTTAGGTGTTGTCAGAGATGATTTCTTTTGAGAAGATTCTTAAAACAGTCGCACAGAAGTTTCCAATACGATATAAATAATCTCGGTACAAAGTTTTTTGTCCACTTGTTACTCGAAATTGTGGTGGATTACTTCTTAGTTCTTATTTTTTGCATCACCTTAGTCTTCAAGCAAGCTTACTTGGCAGATCTTAGAGAAACAGCCGCCGAGCCTACATGTACTTCCCCTTCCCTCTCCTCCCCTACAGCGGAAACCAAACATCCTCCTGCTTTGGTCAGGCGGAATAACCTTGACTAGAAAGTTCCCAATGAAGAAAGCTACATTAAAGACAGAAAACACTCTTCTATTTTGTCGCATTCAATTTTTGGACTTCAAAAAAGGTTCTCTGGATGGGACATTTTACTTCCAGAATATCCAGGCCCGGCCAGGAGTGGGCGAAAGGGGGCAGGAGGGGGGAGAAAGCGGCGGGGTGGTGGTTTTAATATACACGATCAGTTCCCCCATATGGCACCAATATCAACCTCAATTGTAAAGCCTCGGCCAAACGATAGCAAACGATAGCTCGGGCCAAAAGATCGTTTGGCCAGAACTTGCAAATGTTGGGCCAACAATGTTGCGATATGTTGTGTTGAACTGCTGCGATCGTTTGGCCGGGACTTAAAACGTGTGATGCTAGATACCTAAAATTATCTTAGACATTTAATTCTGAACACCTTAAATTCAGGAAAATTTCAAATTTATACCCGAATATACGAATCGTGGCAAAAAATACCGCGCCATATACCTGAATTAAAATGACTCCGTATACGTATGTGCAAATCCCTGGCCGGCCTAAATTATTGGCAGGACGAAGTCTACTTGCCACATTTACGAAATGCTAAACTCTTTGTGAATGTAGCCGACTCTTTTTTAACTTAAAAAAGATTTCTGTCTTGTCGAAAACTTAAAATAACCAACTAAGGCCTGCCGAACAGTCAAGTTCACCCTAAAACAATCCAACAGGTACTCAACATGATGTTGACTTGACAAGAGAGTTAATTCGTAGTTTCATAAACTGCATCTTAAAATATATAAAATACTATTTTAGGCCAGGAATTAAAATTAAAATCCATCCCCATTTGTAACTTAATTAATTAATTAAAGAACCTGAAGATATGCTATGCAACGTAACCAAAATTTTTATCAGCCGGCATAATAGCTGGGTAATTTAAACTGCAAACTTAAACATTGTCTATTAAACTACCGTCATTCTGTCGCCATGGTATCTAACGGACTTGGTAAATATCGTTAATAATTCAGCATTTCTGGGCCATTTCCAGTTTGAAGTCACCTGCTGCAATGTCAAGCGAAGGTGTCTTGTTATAAAGCGAGATAAGACAAGAATCTTTTTTCCACTCTACCTTCTGACGGAAAAAGATGCTTTTGCTGTTTTTCTTCGTGTCAGCTTTTTCTTTTTGTGAGGTAAGAGTTCTTTGGTCTTTCGCAGATAAATAACTACCTTGGTTTGATCCTCGACGACCGTGTTGGGAAACTTGTTTTGTTATGATAAGTTCCGCTCGTATTCCGAACGCGGAAAATGAGTTCTCATGTGCCGAGCAAAGAATTTTGTAACTACACAGGGTTTTGACGATTGTAAAGAACATTTTAATGAAATTTTTTTTCATATGGCTGAGAAAGCTACCGTGCTACATCTAGACGAGGGACTTTGAATTATTATATGCTCTCATAAAAATTAGGTTATTAAGTTCGAAGCCCTTACCACCTTAAAAAGTAATGTTAAGATGTTGTCTCAAGCCATTTTATCAAGATCAGGATTAAAAAATAAATTTAAGTGTTGCTAGGTTTCATTTTTGAAGACATCTATGCCGTTATCAAGGGTGCCGGCCAAATAGAGAATGTAAAAACAATTCAGTTTCACGAAAAACGGCTTTTAAACTCAAAATCAATATCATTATTAACTTATGCATATCACTGAGTTCTTATGTTGTTGGAGATGAATTGAACAAGTTAACAGTCATAATTTTAAATTTAGGAACCTCTTCTGCGTTCTGTTGTGATCGGAAAGGAATAAGGCACAATAAAAAATTGTGTGCAAGAAAGACCAACTTTTGCAAGGTTTTTCATTAAATAAATTTTCATGTCCGCTGTCTAAGCTTTTAATTATTTATTTTGTTAATTTACATCTTGGAATATAAATTACACAGTGCGTTATGATAAACGTGCTGCCGAGCGTGCTTTATAACATGCAAACGTGCTGGTAAACAATTTGCAATTAGTTGCGCAACGTTTTACGATTGCAGACAGTTTTATTTGACATTAGTAACATATCTTCGGTTCTTTCTTTATAGTCACAA